CCAGTGAAATATATTTATGTTTGTGGTTGTAATGTGACAAAATATGGAAAAGTTCAAGGGGTATGAATACTTTTGCAAACCACTGTATTCTCACCACTTCAGACAATCACACTTCTATAAAACTAAAACATCCTTTTTGATGTGAAGTCAGTTTTGAAGTTCACACACATCTATTCTTAAACAAGACATTCTAAGAATGTGTATTTCACACTCCAGTTCAAAGTAGTAAAAGCAAAGATTACACTCTGTTCCAAACAGGTTGTTTTGGTGTTTGCAGCTTCTTTTAGACATCAAAGCCTTACAGAATCCTCACAGCTCATTTCATGGCAGGTTCTGTAAAATCTGTTATGCATCGATGGGTTTCACATAACATCTAACATTTTAAGTGCAATATCGTACTAACAATCTTAAAGGGTAGCTCAAATCTTTTGAAGTGGGGTGCTGTGGACAGGTTATGAACAAATAATATCTTACATGTTGCAGATGGCACCTTGAACTATCTTAGTTTGCAGAAATACAATTTAGGTTTGACCAGAGTGATTAATTAGTAATCGATCCCTCATTTCAGCAGTCTTAAGGCCCCAACATACTCGGGCATACTTCGCTCCGCGGAGGTCCGCGCGGACTTGAGGTGGACTTAATGCGGAGTTGAAGCGGCCATCCGCCGGACTGGTCCGCGCAGAGATCCATTTTTACATCCACGGTGTGGCACAAACTGCCCGGCGAGCTCACGTCGAACTGTTTTGGATGTGACACCGAGCWGATAAAGTTGAGAATCTGTGTCATTTGTGGATGAAATGGAGTCAAAACTTGAAGAGCGTCTCAAGCAGGAGATTAGAAAACTTTACGACGCGTCAGTGAAGAAATCTAAAGATTTTCAGCGAGCAACAAATTTGTGGGAGGAAATAGCTCAGATCCTGGGTTGGTTCTTTTCTTTTGTTGTTTTAAAGCTACAATGCAAACTGTCTCTTCCTCCTCGTCCTTGACACCATGAGTGAAATTGCAAGAAATTAAAGAATATGTCAGGCGGTCGGTACGCTCGAGTATAACATCCGCAGAGTCCGTGCGGCTCATGGACCGCACACAGTACGCCCGCGTATGTGGAAGCCTTTAGTTGGTGTGTCCTTGGGCAAGACGCTTGTCTCGCCTTGCCCGCTGGTGGTGGTCAGAGAGCACAGCAGTCCTGCCTCTGTCAGTGTGCCCCCAGGGCAGCTGTGGCTACATTGTAGCTTACCGCCTTCAATGTGTGAATGTGTGTGTGAATTAGGGCTGCCACGATTAGTCGATGACTAATCGATTACTAAAATAATCGACGACTAATTTAATAATCGATTAATCGTTTTCTCTTTTTTTTGTTCTTTACTTTGTTTTTCTCTCCAAACTGCTTTGACACCTTCCACTGCCAAATCTGCCTTTCTGTCCATGGCTACGTTCACACTGCAGGTCTTAATGCTCAGTTCCGATTTTTTGAAAAAAATCCGATCTTTTTGTG